ATATATATATATATATATACATATATATATATATATACATATATATATATATATATATACATATATATATATATATATATATATATATATATATATATATTTCTCCGTCATCTCTCCGTCATCTCCGTCTCCGTCATCTCTCGGACAGCAAATAATAAAAAAAAATCGCAGCCGTGCAAGGCTGTGGAGACCGGAGACGGAGAAAGACGGAGAGATGACGACGGCGAGATGACGGAGACGGAGATGACGGAGAGATGACGGAGAAAACGCGCGTGAAACAACCCATGTCGAACGCGATCTCCACCTTGCCTCACGCTCTTATCTTTGATCCCCTGACCTGATCGAATTCGTATCATCATATTCGGCTTTAGCGCTGCAGATCACACCATACAACACTTTTGAGCAAAATTTGTGGTTTGATATTGTAGGAACTTTGGTCACAGGTGGGTCAATTTCACAGAAAGTTGCCAGGCAGCCAGAGTAGTTCTCCATATACGTCACATCAGGGATGCAGAGCACCAATAATCCAAACACTAAAACGAAGCGCCTGGTGGCGTCCTGTATTTTAGGTCCTTGGCCGTAGCCGGATTTGGGCCGTTTCTCGCGTTTCTCGGTTGTTGTTGAGTGATGGGTGGGTGTGATGGGGTGGGCAGCAGAGATGTGCTGCGTATTGACATTGCCTGGCCATTGGTTCATCGATTTTTGCACGGGTTCCCTGGTTGATGGTTTCAGATGTTTGAAAGATCTCCAAAGACAGCGTTTTAATCCTTTTGAAAGGTATTGTGGATGCATGAAGTATTTAGGGCACGGCCATCTCACCATTTGCTGCGCTTAGGCGCGAATGTATTTTCTAGTCAAGATTTTCTGCCTGCTCTTAATACATGAAAGTACTTAATTTCTAAGCAACGTTTAGTTTTTAGGTGCATTTGTGAGGAATATCATGCATATAAACAAGATGGTACCAGTAACCTTACTCCTTGTAGGATATCCAGGAAAATGGGAAGATAGGATGTGTTTGTATGCACCCATTCAATAATGTATCTTCCCATTATCAAATTTTCTATTTGGCAAGTAGGTATGCTAGCAGTCTGAGTAACAAATTTAAACTCTTGTGTGTCTAATCCTTTTACCAATTAACCAACAGTCACAGCATGCCACCCAATGGCAAGTCGTGGACAAGCATGACGATGATATACGTTTTACTCATTTTGGTCACACCTAGCCCCAATGTTTTATGTGGAGTAGTCATATTTGATTAAATTGTGAAGGCCCCCTTCGTAATTAGGAATGTCATATGACTGCCTATTATCAGTGTGCTCGTCTTTGAAACATGATCGCTTCCTGCTCCATCTATGATGAATGGCTGTTAAGGACATCAAGGTTTGTGCAGTTTTAAAACTTGCTTTTCTGAATGTGGATTAGCTGTGTGTTGTGGTGGGGCTCAGGTGTCAGGGTAACATTTCAAGGTCTCAAAACAGGATCAGGTCTTGCGAGGTGTAGAAGACCGCCAATTACTCCTTTGTTCTTGAAAATATAATTGTTGTATGGAATGCTTAAAAATTAAATGCACTTGTATTATGCACATCTGCTAATTTTTGTGCCTGGAATGGTGAAGTTTGCATGGAGTATAACATGCTGGGAGTCAGTGGTGTTATCTCATTTTGCATGGCGATGTCTTATATAAATGATAACCACTAAGCAGGATGTGCAATGTGTGTGTGTGTGTGTGGAAGTATTGCTAGGATTCTGCTAGTTAATTAGCATTTATCCACTCAAGTGGCAGGGATGTCAATATTATTTCATGGTTATACACCCTGGCTGATGATTCTCTGCCTGTTGGTCCTCCTGTTGCTAAAAATCAACCAATCAGCACCAGACTCCTGTTGGATGAAGGTTATCCTAGCACTGTGGGGTCTCAGACTTGCTGAATGTACTGTGCAGGTCAGATGTTCAGGTTCAGAGTCAGAGGGGCAACTCATTAGCAGCCAGAAAAGTATTGTACATGCAGAGGCAGTTTAGGGGCCAGAATTTATGTGGTCTGTGGTATATTTACATTAACATTAGAAGTAACATAAGTGACATGTGCTGAAACTAATTGTGCTTTTGTTATATACATTTTGAATAGTTTTCATGATAGTCACACTTTGACACACCAATGTAACTACATGTATAGGATCACAGGATCAAATCAGAATTGAGGGCAGTTAAACAGGAATTTTGGAAACTACCTTACCTAAATGTTGACTTTTGTACAAAACATGCCTTGTGATCATGTCAATGGATTGAACAAAATTTTGGGAAATTGGGGTATGTTCCCTCAGGCACCTCCCAAGCTGTTCCAGCCACTGATTTGATAGGACATACCTGTGGGGCAGAGCTTGTTACATTAATCATTCACTCATTACTGAGTTCTGAGGTTCATTCCTTTCTGCAGATGATTCTTGAATTTTGGGGTGAGGCATTGTGCTTAAGCTTCAGGCTATTTTGGGGGTGAAGAGTACATTCTTTTATTTTGATCATAGTTGATTGCCTAGAATTTGTTCATAACTGAATACTAACATCAGTTTGTATGTCCAGACAATTCTGGGATGTGGGATAAGTGCTTTCATTTGCATTGTGGGTAATTGTCCAGAATTGTGGTGCCTTTTTTCCAACACTGGACCTGTGGATGGATCCAAAGGATTAGAGCAACTGGGCTGTGACCCCCACAATGGCCAAAGCCTGGAGAAATGTGGCATGCTGTGGACTTGACAGGAAATTGAAGCAACTTTTATGGTGGGAAGTTTGTTTGGAAACACTCCTTGGGGTAACAGAAAGCAAAGTCTACAATTATTAAAGATAGGGTCACCTTTTTGGATTCCTCCCAGGATGGTATTCTGAATTCAAATAAAGATGTAAAAAGAGTCAATAGAGTATGCGATGACCCTGTATGTGTTTAAATAAACAATGGTATATCACCAGGTCCAATCCTTGCAGCTGGACAACATCAATAGATTGGTCCCATCTGACTCTGACTGCAGACCCAGTTTTTCCAGATTCTTCTCTGACATGTCAGCTAGCTCATGCAAATTGTTTGTTTTTGTGAAACTATGCCATAGCTTCTCCTGGCTTGTGTGAGGAGTATGGCCTCTCCATCACTAACTTGCTAGGTTATATGTATTTTTATAGGCCTAGTTTTATCTACCTGTGACCAAGATGACCTCAGTAAATAGTGGCTGACTGCTTTCATCATACATGGCATGGGAGTATATAATACATTTAACAGCAAAGCAAACAAACCTCTTGCTCTCCAGTGTCCATATCATCTTGCGTTAAAGAGGTATCTAACCAGTGTCTTCATTTTCAATGGAGGTTCCACTGACTGCTTAAATTGTTCAGTGGAAACCCATGGCTAGGACAAAAGACTGGGGGGAAGGAATCTTGTGTTTCAGCTTTGTTAATTATGTATTGCATTGCCGATGAGAAAAATAGCATCAAGCTTGCTAAGCCTCTCCCCCTATTATCTTCTGAACCAGGTGTTGTGTAACAATTACAAGGTTGATGCGATTTCGTTGTTCAAAACGTCATCCTCGTGGTCCCGGTGACTTCCGGCTCGATGCGTATGAAGACGTGTCGTTGTGCGGCAGCGCTCGTCATAATTTGTCGTTTTCTTTGAGGTTTGCCTTCTCGCCACACAGGTGGCGAGTTTTTTTTTGCCGTCTAAACTGGGGCTGGCCCTCCAAAAGGCTAATGGTCACCGCCGTGTGCGAGTGGATTGGTGATAGTCATATTTTGACGTGCAGTAAAGATTCGATACGCGCATGAATTCAGAAAAATGCTCGGAGGTACGATGGGTTGTTTGTGTACCGTCATGTGTCATATCTTTATCCGGCAACGTAAATGGTAACTGAACATGGCCGTTTTTAGCGCACAGATGACGTACGTGCAGTACACGCATTTTGTTGGCAAACAGGTATCCCTGCCGCCGCAGGTCGGTGCTTGACTTGGCCTGTGGTTAGAGCGCCAGGATAAAGATCGCCGTAGATGAAATGATCAGGATAAAATTGCGAGATGTTTGGCATTAGCGCCATTGATAAGTGTCTTTATCGGTCGATACGGTGATTCGATAAGATTGTGAAAGGATACGTCAACAGTGGTGGCGGAGGGAGGAGTGTGTTCGCATGGGCAGTGTGTGGCTCTTTGACAACCCCCTTGAGACGCTGCGAACATATCTTAGTATAGCACAAAAAAAATAAAACGCCATGAAATGCCTCTATTTGGCAAATGATGACTGAAGACTTAACAGGGTAAGACTAAGTGTATTGCAAAGCTCGAATATGCCCTGCCCAAAGCAATGGGCATGTATTATTTGTGCTGCTATGCTTGTTCGTGTCGGACCTTACATGCACCTTTCCCTTGCAGTGGTCGTACACTGGAGAAGATCGAAAGATTTTGGTAACGATATTACCGTGCACTGTTCCATAAGAAAACGTGAAGCACTCAAAGAAGCTGATGAATGTGCGTGTTGATATGTGAACGTTATGCATTCGGATATCCGTCTGTGTAGTACAGAAGTAACGTGACACGATGGAAATGGATCGACCAACGGTGGAGAACTGGCTCAGAACGCTCTTTCTGGGCCAGTACTCGGAATCATTTCTGGACAATGGATACGACGAACTGGAAATATGCAAACAAATCGGGGAACAAGACCTTGATGCAGTTGGTGTGTTCAATCCGACACATAGGTTCAAAATCCTTGAAGCCGTCAGAAAGTTACGCGAAGAAGGGGCAACTGCAGTTTATTTTACCGTGGAAGAAGTCTTGAAGTCTGGTGAATGCAAATGTGTCGTCGAGAAAAACAGGAGAATGCCCACATACCATGCATCAAAGTACATCCCTCAGAAGATATGTCACTCCTGCGCTACAAATTCCGAGAGCATCAGTACGTGTGGCAGCCCGCCAGAACCAAAGGCGCCTCTGCCCGAACTGAAGAGACTGCCATCTCAGAAACTGAGACAATGCTTCAAAACAAGCTGGTGATTGACGGCATAAAGCTGTACAACTCGCCGTACTCGACAAAGGTATGTGCCAGCCAGTCAAATTCATTATAGAATTTGCGTGTCGTTTTTTCTCGTGTCATGTGTTCCATGAAACATCCCTCTTTAGCGATAATGGTTATGAAGTGCTCCCGCTTTACACACATGCTTATTGAGTGCCTGTGTGTGCATGGTTTGTACACATGTGCATCACTTGTGTTTGTGTCGAAATCGTGCTCTCTCTCTCTATATCACATCGTTCAACGTTATAATGGTGTATACCACTGACCCCTGGCTGTCGAATGGGGAGAAGCGCCCGCCAGTGAGTGGCCCCGGCGGCGGCTAAACTGCCAGCAGTCCGCCCCCCGAGTCGGAGTGGTGTTACGCGCTCGTGACGCGCTGACCTGGCGCCCGTGTCCGCCAGGACGGCCAGACCGGCTATCTGAACGGGCTGGCGTCGCGCTACGCCGACGACGTGCAGACGCACTACCAGGACGTGCTGCAGCAGCTGGACGTGCTGCGCCAGCAGGCGTGGCAGCAGGTGTTGGACGGCGAGGTGCGCGGCGGCGCGGGCGCGCCCCCGCTGATGGCGCCTCCGCCGCCGCCGCCGCCGCCCCAGCAGCAGCAGCAGCCCGACCTGACGCAGTCGGCGCAGCCCATCTACCAGCCGGGCCAGTACCTGGTGAGTGGTGTCGGGCCGCGGCCGTCGCCTCGGGGGCCGCTCGCCGGCTGACGGGCAGTCAGCGGCCATCGAGATAGGCCTGCCCGGCTCGGGGTTAGCATGGGCCTGCTGGGCTCGAGGTCAGGATGGGTCTGCCGGTCTCGGGGTCAGGATGGGCCTGCTGGGCTCGGGGTCGGGATGGGTCTGCCGGTCTCGGGGTCGGGATGGGTCTGCCGGTCTGGGGGTCAGGGTGGGCCTGCTGTGCTCGAGGTCAGGATGGGTCTGCCGGTCTCGGGGTCAGGATGGGTCTGCCGTGCTCGGGGTCGGGTGGGCCTGCTGAGCGAGGGGTCATTATCAAGATTTTGCAAGTGCAGGAATTCCGTGGACGTCCTAAAGTGAAGCTTCTCATCAAGAAGCTTCAAGAGAGGCGAAATCAAGAGATCAAGAGGGGCGAAAAGCTGCTTATGCGCGGATTTTCACCATTTTGTTTTCGATTTGCTAGACACTGCCCCGTGACTGTGGTCCGTTTTGGTAAACTGTCATACACTGTCGGGGTACACGTTTGGCTTTTGACATGACTGGAATGCAATGCAGGCTGACTGTTATTCAATGCAATATTTCATTTGGTACGGGTCATTGGGGGAAATCACAGCCGATGGGAAGGTCATCAGAACAAAGTCTCGGGCCAGGCCCTTGTAAGCAGGTACTGTAGACGCTTAAGGTTATGGCATGGAATTTTATTGATTCATCTCTGTTACAAATCAGTTCATTAACTCACTCATTCTTGCATGCATTTTTTATTCGTTCTCTCGCTCATTCATCCACAACTGTTACCTTTCTTCCTTTTCTGCAAAGCGTTTAGTGCAAGCTTGTTTTAGCATGCGTGATAAAAACTACCATAATAACCCTCTATAACCTTATATTCGTTACACAGATCAGGTAGTGTGCCATGGTTTGTGGCTGCTGGCGCCGGTGATGCTCCCCATCGCTTCGTAGGGGATCTCTTCGAGTGTAGCGCACCGGGGAAAAATACGTTGTGGGTTATATGGATGTGCATGTCTGTTGCGCGACATCTGAGTGTGACAGCCGGGTCCCCGTTCCAGCCGTCCAGCTGTCTGAGCGACAACGACGAAGACGAAATATACGGCTTCGGCTACGGCGTGTACGACAGCCGGGTGCTGAGCCAGCAGCACGCGCGCCGACAGGGGTTAGTGCCTGAGCCGGGCACAGCCGAGCTTGGCTCCGAGTCGGAGCAAGACGCAGCGATAAATGCGCCCTGTACAACACGCAATCATAAGATGCTCATTGCGCCTCCGTAAGACGAACGTTTATGAGACTGACAAACGCACATATTAGCACGCGATGAAAGTCATTGCTTTGAGGCTTTGAATCTGGTCACACTGCTTCTGAAAGTGATAAAAAATCAGCATGTAGGTCAGCTTCCAAGGCGCCGCATTATAAAAAGTGTTTATCAGCTGTCGTGACCTACAGAACTATCCGGATATCACGATGTTTTCCCTTGTGCTGGGAACCTCCAGCAGTCTTTGTGTGCGGGCCATTCGAGCGGACATGTGCAGGAAAAAGCAGCCCGGTAAGATGCCGGAGTCTAATTTTGCTTGAAAACCGTTCCAAATGAAAAGGGCATGCTGCGGTCACTGTAACGCTAAAGAAGGAATCCGGATCGGCGCAAGATATTTGGACACAAAAGGGTGTTTTAGTGACTAACAAACATGATGAAGTGAAGCAGACGAATAAACGGCACAAAGTTGCAGTAGAGATCCTCTTCAATGAGAAAATCATTCAGTAATGTACAGCCTGTATTTGGAACAAGAGACGGAGTACGGGAATAGAAAAGTATAAGGGAATGGTCACGCGACAGATGGTGCGATGCGAGGACAGTCGTGGCTGACGAGCAGCGTTTAGCGCGTCCGACCGCCCCGTCTATTACCAGAGGCCTCAGTGCGCATGCGCTTGTGTGCCGACAGGCTGCGCTCCGGCTCTCCCTCCTACGCCGTGCCCCAGGACTGCGCTGCAGGTGAGATGGCGCCACCGGCCGAGCCCAGCGGGCTGACGGGCTGTCATCCAGGCTGCTCACGCCGCCGCGGGCCCGCTCGTGCCGGCGGCGGTGTAACGAGCGGAGAGTGACCGCATTACCGGGGCCGGAGGCGGTGTAACAAGCGGAGAGGGTGGCCGCATTACCGGGGCCGGAGGCGGGTGGGGGATGACAGCGGCGCTAGTTTAGGCATGGTATCTCCCATGTGTTGCCAGCAATGCGCATTTTTGCGATATGGTGCATGCTGTGGCGCGGTTTTCTCAGTCACCTCGGCGGACTAGCCCCCTGCGTGTGCGCGGTCAGCTGGCGTCACAGTGTGCCGCTGCTCGCCCCTGCCGCCGAACCCGCAATGTCACGCCGTTTCGTGACTTGCCTGTCTGTGTAGGGGCGCTGCGCCCCCGGGGTCCTACTGACCGTGCCGGCTGTGTAGGGACCCTGCGTCCCGGGACTCTGCCGACCGTGCCGGTTGTGTAGGGGTGCTGCGTGCCGGAGCCCTGCTGACCGTGCCGGTTGTGTAGGGGCGCTGCGTGCTGGAGCCCTGCTGACCGTGCCGGTTGTGTAGGGGTGCTGCGTGCCGGAGCCCTGCTGACCGTGCCGGTTGTGTGGGGGTGCTGCGTGCCGGAGCCCTGCTGACCGCGCCGGCTGTGTAGGGGTGCTGCGTGCCGGCCCCTGCCGACCGTGCCGGCTGTGTAGGGGTGCTGCGTGCCGGCCCCTGCTGACCGTGCCGGCTGTGTAGGGGTGCTGCGTGCCGGCCCCTGCTGACCGTGCCGGCTGTGTAGGGGTGCTGCGTGCCGGCCCCTGCTGACCGTGCCGGCTGTGTAGGGGTGCTTCGTGCCGGCCCCTGCTGACCGTGCCGGCTGTGTAGGGGTGCTGCGTGCCGGCCCCTGCTGACCGTGCCGGTTGTGTGGGGGTGCTGCGTGCCGGCCCCTGCTGACCGTGCCGGCTGTGTAGGGGTGCTGCGTGCCGGCCCCTGCTGACCGTGCCGGCTGTGTAGGGGTGCTTCGTGCCGGCCCCTGCTGACCGTGCCGGCTGTGTAGGGATGCTGCGTGCCGGCCCCTGCTGACCGTGCCGGCTGTGTAGGGGTGCTTCGTGCCGGCCCCTGCTGACCGTGCCGGTTGTGTGGGGGTGCTGCGTGCCGGCCCCTGCTGACCGTGCCGGCTGTGTAGGGATGCTGCGTGCCGGCCCCTGCTGACCGTGCCGGCTGTGTAGGGGTGCTTCGTGCCGGCCCCTGCTGACCGTGCCGGCTGTGTAGGGGTGCTGCCTGCTGGAGCCCTACTGACCGTGCCGGCTGTCGTCAGCAGACGGTGCGGCTGGCTGGCGGACGTTCGGCAGCAGCGGCAGCGGCGGCGCGGTCAGCCCGGCCGCCAAGAAGCGTGGCCGCCTCGGCAAGCTGTTCCGCACACTCAAAATCAACCGGCACCGCAACTTCCCCAAGCTGGGCCGCACCAAGGTGAGAGAGGCGGCCGTGGACCGCTGGCCCCCGAGCCGGGCGTGCGTGGCGGCGTAGCCCGCGCGCGCCGGCCTTCCTGCGTGCTCCTGTCGGCCGCGGAGATGGGCTGCTTCGCTGCCACCGACTCCGTAGTTTAAAGGCCGGGCGCAAAATAGAAATGGTTGGAACTGCTTGTGTGCTTTTACTCAGTTCGCAGTTGCACTGGTATGTGGCTCATCGTGTATCATGCGTCCATGCACGCTCACGACGGGTGTGCATGTTGCAGTGTAGATACAGCACATGAGCTCGGCGTGCGCGGATTTCCGCGGCAGTGAACTTCCAGGGTATAATAACGTGCCTTGCGTTTGTCGACATGCCTCTTTCCACCACGCCGATACCACGCCACGCAATATATTTGTATACGTGCTGAGGTATAGCTGCCTGTGCTGACTACAGGTGCAGAGTGTTGTGTGGTAGGTGAGCTACGCCGCTGGTTTGTGAACATATGATGTGTTTTTAATGACATCAACGAGGAATAGGAAATACCTTCTCTATCGGCGCAGTCTGTCTGGCTTTTGCAGCGCAGCTTAGGATTACGGATTGTGGGCTTTGACGTTAATTTTCCTCGAGAGCTTAAGTCTCGAGATGACAGGTTTGGGTTGGTATTATTTTTCGGCATTGATGGATTTCATGAGAACACATTGTTACGTTCTGCGATTCTGACCTTAGAATAGAAATAAGCAAAAGAGCGGTGGAGTAATTTGGAAACTACTCTGGACACCTTTCTGTCGGCCATTATGGGTTTTTGCGACATCGAATGGCAATGTGTGTTATTATTCGATGGCAGACCTTCCGATTGTCGCGTGAAGACGTCTGACGTTTCCCTATAACATGCCGCGTGCTGTGTGCTGAGGGATGATTAACGTCGAAATTTGGTAGGCAATTTGCCTGGAAAGTATCTCCCTCATCATGCACACAAATGCCAACTCTGTCGGCAAATGTACACATTTGTTCGGATGCACATTCGGTGTGCTCTGTCTGAGATGACCCAACGAACCAGTGCTTTGCGTTGCCGAGAAGAGCTTGAACACACCTCAATATCAGCAAAGGCATTCGTCGGACTTTACTTCGCCGGCACCGAGGGCAAATACCCCTACAGCGTCTCTGAGTGTTTGGTGACTTTGCAGCTCGGAATTTCAATGCCTGTCGATCAACGAAAATCCCTGAGCTCGGTGGCATCGCGGCTGTTGTCCAGGGGTGCTCCAGGGCGCACTCTCGGCGCCCTGTGTCGCTGATCGGCGGTTCTCCGTGTCCGCTGCAGGGGGGTGG